GTATGATATTATGTTGTAGAGTTAGTTCATATATTTATGATGATGTGATGTGAATTCATGGTGAATTGTGAGAAGGGTATGTGAACCGTTGTTTTGTGTGGATTTATCTATATTGTGCATGTGATGTGGAATTGAAATGTGAACTGTGATGTGATGATGGGGCACAGTCGTATGCGTGACACCAGGCAGTAAGGGCATGCACGTGATACGGTGCTATTTATGTATGTCGTAACCTAAAAAATTCCGATCTTACGACCAATAGTTTAGACTACCTTTTGAAAAATCTCATCAATTAGGGAATGACTAGAAACCAGACTAATATTTAATTAATGGTTTTGAAAAATAAGTTTATGGAGTCTCCACCAATGTTTTACTCAAAACATTGGAAAAATAAAATATTTTGAAATTAAAATAAAGGTCTTCATAGTCAAAATTGGGTTCGGAGGTCGATTACGTGTAAGGAAGGTATTAGGCACCCCTACAAAGCCCTAAATTAGTACCTTATGATGAAATTAGTAGAGGTGGGTAGATGGACCTAGGTCCGCGGACCGGTCCGTAAGCCCGAGGATTTCGCGGATAACGAACCCATTTTTTTCAAATCCGTATAATTATGTTTGATTTTTGAGCCCAGCCCGTGAAGTCCGCGGACTTGGCAGATTTAATCCGTGGGCTCGCGGGCTAGTCCGCGGACTTCACTAATTAATATTTTTAAATATTAAGATTTTAATATTAAGTTGTGTATTTAATTTTTTAAATTATTATGACATTAAAAATATATTTAGTTAGTATGTATTTGTCATTTGAATTATTTTTATGACATTTTGATGATTTTATTATTGAAAGTTTGGTACTATTATTTAAGTATTTGTAATTATTTTTATTTTAATATTTTAATATTTAGTATTTTAAACTATTTTAACTATTGATAAATTTTAGTATGATAAAATTTAGCTTATAAATAAAAAAATATTTTTTTCTTCTAATTTTATGTATTTTTATTTTTTAAAAATTTATTTTTTTGAACTATTATTTAAGCCCACGGACCGGTCTGTTATCCGCGAATTTTGGCGGGCCGGATACGGACTTAAAAAAAAGTCCATTTATTTTACGGACCGGACTTATCCGACCCGTATAAAACGTGGGTTTTATGGACCGGGCCTTAAACGGGTTGGATCGGTCCGTATACCCACCCCTAGAAATTAGCATAATAATAAATAATATTTTAAATATCGTATCCCCTTTTATTATTAAATATTATTTTCATGACAAAAGATACCTATTAATATTATCTACATGATTATTTATTGGTATATAAGAATTATAAACAAAATAAATAAAATGATAAATAAAGAAATAAAATAATAAAAAAGAATAATAAATAAAATAATAAATAAAATAATTAAAAGGAATAAATAAAAGAGAAGAATTTAGAACAAATGCGTGCGGGGCACGTTTTGGCAGCCCTTCGCTCTATAAAAATCTCACTATCACCCAAAGGTTTATATAGAGAGAGGGGAAGCTATGCAACCTTTTCTTCTTTTTTATCCCTTGGCCAAAGGGTTTCTTATATAGCCAACTAGGAGACAAAAGCATAAGAGAGCTATCCGATGTGAGACTAAATTTTATAAGAATACCATCTTTTCCTAGGCACCATGCAGGACCTCTAGAGAACTCGTCAACCGTCGGATCGTGCTATTTTTTTTATGGTATTCTCACAACATATTTATCTTCAATTTCAACGGTTGGATCGTTGAAATTAGGTTTGTAGTGAGAGATACTATCATAACAAAAACGTTGTCTGGTATAGAATTCATATTTTCCAGCTGTAATGCGAGGCCTCTAGAGAAATCATTAATTGTTGGATCATGCTAAAAATTTGATTATATCTTCTTAATACATTGATATTTAACTTTAATGGTCGGATCGTGAAAATTAGTTCTGTAGAGGGTGATATTATCAGAACAAAAATGCTGCCCAATGCAAAATTTTCTAGAAAGTGGAATGAGCCATTCTGGCTTCAGAACGGGTCGTTCCAATTTGGGAATGGCCCTTACGCGCCCCAGATCAATTTTCTTGAGTTTTTTTTGGCCTTTTAGAGCCATCTTGGCCCATTTAGGTGCTTTATTGGGCCCTTAGGGGCCATACGTACTACTTTTTTCCAGCTGCAGTGCGAGGCTTCTAGAGAACTCGTTAACCATTGGATCATGCTGGAATTTTGATAATATCTTCTCAATACATTGATCTTTAATTTCAATGGTTGGATCGTCAAAATTAGTTCTGTAACGAGAGATGTTATCATAACAAAACTGTTGCCCAACACATTGGTCCCCTCGAGGGTTGTTTGTCTTGCTCTAGTAGACCTTTATCCTTGGTTTGGATTCCCCGGACGAAATTGGGTGTCTACAATGTGTTGTTGAGGGCATGGTCGTATGCATAATACGATACTAAATGTGTGATGCATTAGGTACAGTCGTATGCGTGATATCGATGCTAGTAGTGGAATGTATTAGCACAGTTAGGTGCGTGACACGATGCTCGACGTGTGATGCGTCAGTAAGGGCGTGTACGTGATCTAGTGCTAGATGTGTGACATGGTGTATATATGTAATTTATTTATATATACATATGTGAATTGTGATGAGATGATGAAATATGTGGATTGTGATGAGATGATGGAATCTATGTGTTTATGGATTATATTGCTTTTAGATTGTTTTGTGGAATTTCATGATGTGCTTTATGTATAAATATTTTCTTTTCTCACTATACGTTTGTGGTACTTTTTAGGTGAGGAAGATGTGGACATGGGCGTCATTCAAGGTGCCAATAATTGAGTCATGAGATTGCTCTGATAGTGTGACATCGGGACAAAGAATTTTAGATTATTCATTTTATTGTATTTGGCTTTTATATATCTTTGTTAGTTAAATTTATGAACTTATATTTTATAAATATTTTTTTAAAATTATTTGGATATTGGAAGTATTTTATTTGCGAACCATTATACCCGAGTTAGGGAACTATTTCTTTATATTTTTATATTATATGTGTTGGGGGGTACAATGGGTGTCACAAAGTGCAATAAATTTGTGAGGCATGTTGTGTTGTGTTGTGTAGAATTGTGTTGAAAAAATGCATGATGCATGTTGTTGAGTTGTAATGTGAACTTAGGATTAGAGAAAATGTATTATTTTTGAAATTGCAATATCCATTATGTGGATATGTGTTGTGGTGCTCCGAGAGCCTAATTGTTGAAAACCTTCATTGGGTATTGTTGTCTCTTGGAGTGGAGTGTTGAGTCTTCTCTAGATCCTTAGTTGATGCCGCATAGGGTCAGGTCGAGCTATACATGTTTAAAAGCAACCAAACTAAGTAAGGTATGAAGTCGATAGGTAAAATCCTTTAATTGATTATTGGAAATGTGCATGGTGTTGCGAGGATAGTTGGCGAGTTGTACCCATAGGTGACTTAGTTAATGCATGTAAATGTTATGGTAGGCCTAATAGGCCCATACCCAAGCTATACTATTCTTGACGATAGGTACCAAACTTTCCTAGTGCAAGTTGTGAAATTTGAGAAATCACATTGTGTTATAGAAATTTGTTGTTGACCTAGCAAACCAAAAAGGCAGGGCTATTAAGTTTATTTTGGTAGGTCAAACCACTTAGATTGCTCACTTGTATTGTAAAAGATATCTTAGTTGAAATGCGTGATGATACATGAGATGTTATGTTGTTAATCTGTTGTGTTGATAAGTTGGAAATTTGCCATGTTGTTGAGTTGTATACTTGCGTTGGTATGTTGATGTGTATTGTTGTATTAAGCTTAGACTGTTGTTATGATGTGTTGAGCAGTTGTGTTATTAATATGTTGTGTTGAGTAGTTATGTTGTTAATATTTTGAGTTGTAAAGTCATTATGTTGTGGAGTTGTTGTGTTGTGAAATGGTTATATTGCTAAGTTGGAGAATTGTTATGTTGCTAAATTATTTTGCTGATATGATATCATGTTGCTATATGAAGTAAGTGAAGTATTGAATGTTGCTAAATTATCAATGTTTAATTGATAAGTTGATCAGTATAGTTAAGTTGAACACATGATTGTTGCTGAGTAGATGATATTGATGATGTTTATATAGTTGACTAGTTTTTTCTATATTATGTTTAATTCTTTGTATACAATCTTATCCTTGTTTTTCCTTGTTGTAGATTGCGATGATCATACTTGTTATAGGAGCAAGACAAAATTTGATTGGAGGTCTCACTTGATGAATAACTATGCTAGAGATGGCTTCTATGTCGTGATGAGTTGTTCTGATACAACATGTGTTCAGAGACACTTGATCAATGCTAAGACTTTGTGTTTTCAGTATTCTATACTAGACGTATATTGGTATATATGTATAGGATTTTGTTATAACCCCATAAGGAAATTTATTTTTTTTAAAGTAAAAAATTGACAGTGATTGTTTTATGTTTTCTGCATCATATACATATATTTGTTATATAAATATCCAGGAATTATTGCATGATAATCTTACTTTAGAAGATTCTTTATATATTCCATTACCTAGTGTTGTATTGTACTAAATATAGTGACATGTCACGTCGTTACAAAGACCACCATTAACATGTAAATACAAAAAATTATATTGCATTCACTCACTTTTTATCATAACCATTATAACACATGTATAACTCATCACCTTCTATTTTAATTTTTCTTCTTCTTATTTTTATATATTTTACCTTTTATTTAAATACATATAGCTATGAAATGTTTGGACTTTGCTAGTTTATATTATATGAATAATCTTGCATTTTATATATTAAATTATTAAATTATTATATAGAATAAAACATAATATGATCAAATAATATTAATAATTTTTATAAATTAAAAAACGTCAATATAAAGTGTTGAAAGGCTTAAAATATGATTCATTTATTTGAAAAAGGTGAATGGAGAAAGAAAATAGAAGGAGAGAGGGAGGAGAGGGTATCTAAGTAAGATGAATGATGTATCTCAAATTCTCACCAAAAGCGGAAGGAATACATTGTAGAAGTGATCTCCTAAAAAACCTACCCTTTCTTTTGACCACTCTCTCTAAAGCCTCACTCTCGGCAAGTTTTTTCTTTTTTGTTACCACGCTTTCTCTCACTACACGCTTTCTCTCTCTCTTTCTTCCCAAATCACCCTTCTATCCATCGCTCCCGTCTCAGATACACACACCACTCCCAAGCACCAACCACCGAATAATAACAACACAAAGGAAAAACAAGAGGAAACCCTAATTGCACACTCTTCAGGTTCCTCACTTTCTCACCCAACTCCACTTTTTTTTTTTTTTTTTTATTTTTTTTCTCTTGCAATTGCGCGTATGAGTTGATGCAGTGGCTCGTACGGGCTTCGTTGCGTGCGATGATGACGTGGATCTGCTTGTTTCGTTGCAGGGAAAATTGAGGGAGAAAATTCATATTTTTTTTCCTCTTTTTTTTGTTTTTTTGTTGTTGTTGGTTTTGGTTCTCCAAGAAACTTTGATTTTGAGGAATTAAGGGTTGGGATATATGTCCTTCAATCAATCAAAGTCCGATAAGAGCGACGCTGTGTACCGAAAATCCGGGCGATCCGCCAGCTTCAATCAGCAGCGAGGTTCCTCCGGCGGTGCGTACGGCAAGGCCGGCGGCGGCGGTGGCGGCGCCGGGCCTTCTCCGTCGCTCTCCTCTAGCCGGAGGTGAGTTTGTTAGGGTTTGCAATTTTATCTATTTGTTCCTTTTCTTTTTGTGAACTATTGCGTGTTTTTTTTATTTTATTTTATTGAATAGTGGGAATATGGGATTGTGATTTTTTTAACCGTTTATGTATGTAGTGTTAAAGTGAATTGTGCTGTTTTCAGTGAGGTGGTGTGGGTTTTGAAACTGGGTTTGTTGCGTGGTGGCCTAGGGTTATATGATTTGTGCGTGTGTTTGTGTGCTTTTGTTCTTTGTTTTCTTTCCTTTTTGTTTCTGTTTTATTGATTCTTATTGTTGCTTGTCCTAGTTTTAACAAGAAGTCTAATAATAATGCACAAGGTGGGCAATCTAGGGTAAACCCTGCACCGTTGAATTCAGCTGAGTCTAATAGTACTTATGCAGCCCGGACTGTACCGAATGGTTCCCATGTACAGCCGCAGATTCATGGTAAGCTTGATGAATATGTATGTTTTTAAGAATTAGTTCTTAATTGTTGAGTGCGTGGTTATGTTGTCGAGTGGAATTATTTGTATTCCTCTTTGCAATGGAAGAACATGTGGATTTTGTGTATGCATAGTGTTTGCTAAAAGTGATGATCTTTTATGGACTTCATTCACCTATGTGGTATGATAGGGGGACCCAATGCACCAGTTACAAATGCAACTGCCAAGCCATCTGAATCGTCAACTGCACAAAGGAGCACCAGACCTGTTCCAAAAGCTCCTACTTCTCAACCTCCCGCCATGAGTTCTGATCCAGCAGCTCCAACGACCCCTGCTAAGGGTATGTCACTCTTGTAGGTTTTTAATGCTGTCTATAAAGTGCAGAATAAGTTTTATGATTTCTGAATTGTGGTTTGGGGTCATAGTAAAGTGACATTATGAAATAATATTTATCCATTTCATCTGATTTGTGAGAGTGATCTGAAATTTGTTCTATGCACCAGGAGATGCATCAAAGGCATTCCCTTTCCAATTTGGATCTATTAGTCCTGGCTTTATGAACGGGATGGCAGTAAGTTTCGCATCTGCTTATTGCGATATGTACAACAATTGTTATATCTGCTAATTGTTCTATGAATGGGGTGGCGGCCTGCGAGTATGATTTAATCATGTATTTTTCTTATATGCAGATCCCTGCTCGCACAAGCTCAGCTCCTCCTAATATAGACGAGCAGAAGCGTGATCAAGTATGCAGTTTATTCTCTGCTCCTTCCACCTCCTTGTTATATGTACAACAATATAGATATATTATACTGCCACTCCCAATAATGAGGGTTTAGTTGGTCGCCACTGATTTAAACTCCTCTAATAGTCTATGTTTCCTTCACCTGTTTTCATACTAATTCAAGTATTTGTTTGGTGCCTAATTTCATAACTTGCAGGCTCGACATGATTCTTTTAGACCTGCGCCTTCAATTCCAACTCCTCCTGTTCCAAAGCAGCAGGCAGTGAAGAAGGATGCTAGTGTTGCTGACCAATCTAATGCTGGGGAGACTCATACTGGGATTCGAGCAAAAAAGGATATTCACATGTCACCTTTACCACCAGCAAGCCAGATGCAGAAGCCTTCTGTTATTCCTTTAACAGGGATTTCAATGCCAATGCCATATCACCAGTCACAGGCATCTATACACTATGGTGGTCCTAATCCGCAGATTCAATCTCAAGGTATGTCATCTGCACCTCTGCAGATGCCATTACCAATGCCTTTACCAATTGGAAGTGCTGCACAGGTGCAACAACAGGTTTTTGTTCCAAGCCTTCAACCTCATCCTATTCATCCTCAGGGCATCATGCATCAAGGCCAAAACATCGGTTTCAGTCCACAAATTGGCCCTCAGTTGCCCCATCAGTTAGGCAACATGGGTATTGGCATCAGCCCACAATATCCACCACAGCAAGGAGGAAAGTTTGCTGGTCCTCGTAAAACTACTCCTGTCAAAATAACTCATCCTGAGACACATGAAGAGTTGAGACTTGATAAAAGGGCAGATGCATATTCAGATGGTGGGTCATCTGGTGCAAGGCCTCATTCTGGCATGCCTTCTCAATCTCAGCCTGCCCAGCAATTTGCAGCATCTCATCCTATTAATTACTATCCACCCACTTCCTACAGTGCCAATTCTCTCTTTTATCCAACTTCTAGTTCTCTTCCATTAACAAGTAGCCAGATAACTCCTAACTCCCAGCCACCTAGATTTAATTATGCAGTGAGCCATGGTCTGCAAAATGTTAGTCATGTTAATTCATCATCTCATAGTTCCCTGCCTGTTAATAAGGCTGGCACTCTGATTCCTGGCAATGCTGAACCACCTAATACAGATTTTTCACGTGATGTGCATAATACAATCTCGTCAGCTCCACCAGGAGTAACTTCTGTGTCTATTAAACCAAGTGGTGGATCTGGTGTTGTGGACTTGTCATTTTCCAAATCCAGTACCCAAAAGACTGGATCTCCTAGTTCTTCATTAACATCTAGTGATGCTTTCTCTTCTGTACCACTAAAAGGGTCTGAAACAGCTGAAATCTCTTCACAACAGACTAAGTTCTCCAGTGATTCTTCCGTTTTGGGCTCGTTGCCAAATCTAACTGCTGCATCTGCTGCGAAGCCAACATCGGCTTCCCTGTTGCTTTCTAGAGAAGATTCTGTTTCAGTTGTGCCTAATAATGAAGGCAGAAAGAAGGAATCTCTTAGCAGGTCAAATTCTTTGAAGGATAATCAGAAGAAAATACAGAAGAAAGGGCAATTGCAGCATCATGTACGTAAGCAAATAACTGTTAAAATATCTTTTCTAATTTGATCTTGGTTTGCTCAAAGTACTGTGAACATTCTTTTACTCTTCTCTTTCTCACAGGTTGCTGTGCAATCTCCTGCTACAGCTAATGTTCCTTCCCAAGCTGTTGATAGTGGTATCTCTGATTGTGAAGTTTCTGAAACTGTAGGAACTGAAACAAACCATTCTGCAGAAATTACCAGTGAAGATCTCTCAGCTGCAGCTTCAGACTCATTATCAGCTACCTGTGAGAGCATACCTTATGCTGTTGAAATGAAAACTAATGGTTCTACACAAGTGTCTTCTTGTGCATCAGCTGAAGGACCTGTTACTAAAGTGGTGGATAATTTTAAAAATCATAACAATGAAGAGATGGATGAATTCTCACAAGAGGATAAACTGTTACAGAAGAATATTTTGGAAACGGGTGGTAAAACAGAAATTTTGTCTCTTCAAGGATGTAAAGATGGTGGTGACGGTCAAACAGAATTGGAACAACCTAAGCAAGGTTCTGTGAAGTTAAGCACTGAGGTTGTGACTGTGAGGACTGTGGATCAAGGGCAGGATGAGTCTACAAGTTGTAGTGCAGAATGTGACAGGACGGCTGATAATTTAGGCATGTCTATCCCTACCACATTGGATTCTAAAGATGTTTCTTTAAATAGAAACGATAGTGTAGTTAGTGATGAAGTTGTTTCTACAAATTCTGGCACATCAGATCAGCAGTCTGCTGATCTTTTAGAAACGTGTAAGGATAGTTCAGAGAATGCTGGAAGTGGTTCAGTGTCTCTTCCAGCATCAGGTGTCAAAGACAGACCAGTTTCAGAGCCTAGTAAGGTGAAAACTACATCAAAGGGGAAAAAGAAACGAAAAGAGATTCTTCAGAAGGCTGATGCTGCTGGGTCAACATCTGATCTTTATAATGCATACAAGGGACCTGAGGAAAAGAGAGAAACTTCCGTAAGTTTAGAGAAAACAGAACTTGACGGAAAAGAAAGTACTTCTACTTCTGGAAATTTAGAGCAGTTGCCTACTGATGCGGCTGAGCCAGATGCTGGAGCAAGTGAACAAAATAAGCAGAGTAAAGCTGAACTTGATGATTGGGAGGAGGCAGTTGACATGTCTACTCCAAAACTTGAAGTTTCAGATAAAACTGAACAGGATAGTGATGGAAGTGCAGTTACTGCCAAAAAGTATTCTCGAGATTTCCTTTTGAAATTTGCCGAGCAATGTACTGATCTTCCCGAAGGGCTTAAAATCACAGCAGACATAGCCGAGGCTTTCATGGGTACTAATGTTAGTCCTCATGTAAGTGAACGTGATTCACATTCATCTGGTGGAAGAACTATTGATAGGTCAGGTGGGATATCTCGAATGGACCGTCGTGGGAGTGGTGTTATTGAAGAAGACAAATGGAGTAAAGTTTCTAATGCATTTCATTCTAGTATGCGTTTGGATGGCATTGGAGGCAATGCAGGATTTCGACCTGGCCAAGGAGGCAATTTTGGTGTTTTAAGGAATCCACGCACACAAGCACCTCTTCAATATGTTGCTGGTATTCTTTCTGGTCCAATGCAATCCATGGTAAATCAGGGAGGAATGCAAAGAAATAGCCCTGATGGAGAAAGGTGGCAACGTGCTACTAGCTTTCAACAGAGGGGTTTAATCCCATCTCCTTCTCCTCAAACTCCATTACAGATGATGCACAAAGCTGAGAAGAAATATGAGGTGGGTAAAGTGACAGATGAAGAAGAGGCAAAGCAGAGGCAATTGAAGGGTATATTGAACAAGTTAACTCCTCAGAATTTTGAGAAGCTTTTTGAGCAGGTTAGAGCAGTTAATATTGACAATGTAGTCACTCTCAATGGTGTCATCTCGCAAATCTTTGAGAAGGCCTTGATGGAGCCTACCTTTTGTGAAATGTATGCCAATTTCTGTTTTCATCTAGCAGCTGCATTACCTGATCTCAGTCAAGACAATGAAAAGATAACTTTCAAGAGATTATTGTTAAACAAGTGTCAGGAAGAATTTGAGAGGGGTGAAAGAGAGCAAGAAGAAGCTAATAAGGCCGATGAGGGTGAGGTCAAGCTGTCTAATGAGGAAAGGGAAGAGAAACGGACCAAGGCAAGAAGACGTATGTTGGGTAATATCAGATTGATTGGAGAACTATATAAGAAGAAAATGTTGACAGAGAGGATTATGCATGAATGCATCAAGAAATTACTGGGTCAGTATCAGGATCCAGATGAAGAAGATATTGAAGCTTTGTGCAAGCTGATGAGTACTATTGGGGAGATGATTGACCACCCCAAAGCGAAGGAACATATGGATGCATATTTTGAAATGTTGAGATCCTTGTCAGTCAACATGAACTTATCTTCTAGGGTGAGGTTCATGTTGAAGGATGTCATTGATTTGAGGAAGAATAAATGGCAACAAAGAAGAAAAGTTGAAGGCCCAAAGAAGATTGAGGAGGTGCACAGAGATGCTTCTCAAGAGAGGATGGCCCAAGCTGGTAGGTTGGGTCGTGGTCCCGGCAACAATCCAACTAGAAGGACTCCTATGGATTTTGGTCCAAGAGGGTCATCCATGTTATCTCCTAATTCTCAGATGGGTGGACTGCGCGGATTTCCTACTCAAGTTCGTGGGTTTGGTTCTCAGGATGTTCGCATGGATGAAAGGCAAACTTATGAGGCCAGGACATTGTCAGTTCCCTTGCCTCAAAGACCTTCAGGTGACGAGTCAATAACCTTGGTACCCATGGGTGGTCTTGCTAGAGGCATGTCCATTAGAGGTCCACCTGCAGTTTCAAGTTCAACTGGTCTTAATGGCTATAATAATTTTCCAGAGCGCGCCTCATACAGCTCTAGGGAGGACCCTGCATCAAGATATACACCAGATAGATTTTCTGGTTCAACTGCTTACGATCAATCTAGTGTTCAAGATCGTAATATGAATTATGGCAGCAGGGACTTGAGAAATTCAAATAGGGTTCATGATAAACCAGTTGTAACTTCACCACCTGCCAGAATGCAAGGTACAACAGTCTCCCAGAATATTTCTCCAGAGCGACTGCAGGACATGTCCATGTTAGCAATCAAAGAGTACTATAGGTACCACTTTCTCTTCATCATGTTATTATTCCCTTTGTATCATCTTGTTAGGTTAACTGTACTTTTTTTTTTTAGAAACACGATTTATACTTTTATAGTTTAGTATAAGTCATTTTTTAAACTGTAAACCCCCAAATTTACTGAATTTCTCCAAATTCCTTATTGGTAATTTTTTTGTTTGTTCTCACTTAAAAATGCCCTGTTTCAATTGTAATGTGTAAAACAAATTAGTCTAATCAGGTAAAGAATTTTATTCATTTGGTTGTGTCTTGTCTTGTTTTGTTTCACTAAATCTCAATGCATATTACAATACTGATCTTAAAAGGGTTAGATATGTGATATTTATGTTATCTGTAAACAATGAAATGATATGGCAGAGTTCATAGTATAGGCTACTGTGGGTTCTAGTACTAAATTTATGAGGTGTTTGGTTCTCAGAAACATTGTCGGGAATCTAACGTCAAGAATCTTAGTTTTCCGTGTTTGGTTTATCATTTAAAAAATATTTTTAGGAAACGTTTCTCGGGAATGATTTTTGCATAAGTTTCTAACGGAATTATTTTCTCGGGAATGATTTTATTTGCTTATTTAATGCAATAAAAATCTTTATTAACATTTATAAACATTCTTAGAAACATTTATGACCAACTAAACAGATTTTTTATAATTTTGAAGAATTATGATTCTCATGAATCATGATTCTCAGGCATGAAAAAATTTGCTGTGTAGTCGTGTACTAAGCATCCCTTTAAAGAAATTATATATATAGTATGGATGTGATGTATAATGCCATTTTTAATAGATATATAAATGTAAAATTACAAGTGGATTGTATAACACTTAAAGCATGAGTTGGGTATAAATTATTATTTCAAATTAATATCGTAAGTAATGCATTCTAGTTGAGAAAAAGAGGGCTCTGCATGGGTAAGAGGAAAACTAGTGTGTTTAATGTTTGTTGTGTCTATCATTTTGTTATTTAGATTTGCCTTATTGATTTAGCTGCTTTTTTTCTCGCTAAAGGTCGACTTTCTACTGTTGCTGCCTGTGCTACATACATTAGTGTGTTTTCTTTTGGACTTTTGCTAGTCTTGTGTGCTGCTTTTGAAGTTTCCATCACTGTTCACTCAACATCTAAAATTGTATAATTCCTTATGTTTCTAAATATAGGATTTTGTGTTGGTGACAAAGATTTTCATGTTATGGTTATGAATCCTGACTTATATGATTGTATGTGATAACCTTTTCTTATGGTTTCAGACTTGCTGTATGTGTTTAATGGGCTTTTGTTTACTGTTTTAGGAAAATGATGTGATTATTTCTCACTGTTTGGCCTCATTTCTTTTTCCAACCTATGATTTGACATTTGAGAAAAAAAAATGGCATTTGGAAGATCTTAACATTCGTTCATTACTTTGTTATACACATGGTTCAAACTTCAAAGTGATGGCCAAACCATGGGGTTTCCTTTTTTTCCCCTGGTTTTATTTCTATTCCTTTTGAGGATTCAGACTGTATTTGTTGTTACTGCTGCAATCACTTTAATTATTATTTTGCTGCAACATCCGGTAAATGTTATGAGTGTTTGCAAAATTGATTTCAAATAAAATTAATTTTGATGTCATGTGATTTATGTTTGAATGTCTAAAAGCAAGCTACTATTACAATTCAGTTTAAAAATTTTGATCCAACACAAGCTACAAGAAGTTGCCTCAACTCAATTAATTCTGGACCCATGGTCAATTATTTAACTTGAAATCAAACATGTGGACATTTGCTAAATTAAAGCCATGATTTTAATGTGATTCTGGATCATCTAACGGGAATCCAAACATGTACTCATGTTTAATTTTGTAGTTTTGTGTTATCACTTTCATCTAACTATAACTTTTGAATCCAGTGCTAGAGATTTGAACGAAGTTGTTGAATGTATCAAAGATCTGAACTCTCCAAGCTTTCATCCTTCCATGGTCTCTCTCTGGGTGACGGACTCGTTCGAGAGAAAGGACACTGAGAGAGATCTTTTGTCCCAGCTGCTTGTTAACCTTGTGAAATCTGAGAATGGACCCTTGGGTCAAGTCCAGCTCATCAAAGGGTGAGATTTATTCCACATCTGTCATTCTGATAGTAAAAAAATGGAGTTTGTTTCTCATTCCTTTTTATCATTACTGGTTAGGTTTGAATCTGTTCTAAGTACTTTGGAAGATGCGGTTAACGATGCCCCCAAAGCACCAGAGTTTCTTGGCCGTGTTTTTGCCAAAGCTATAACAGAGCATGTAGTCTCTTTGAATGAGATTGGGCGGTTAATACATGAGGGTGGAGAGGAACCTGGCAGCCTCTTAGAAGTTGGACTTGCAGCTGATGTTCTTGGAAGCACCTTGGAGGTAATAAAAATGGAGAAGGGTGATGCTGTTTTGAGTGAGATTTGTGCAAGCTCCAAGTTGCGGTTGGAGACCTTCCGGCCACCGGAACCTCTTACATCAAGGAAGTTAGAGAAATTTATTTAGGGGGATAGAGGAAAATATTTATTTATGTCTAGTGCTGTTAGGATACTCAAATTTGCAGAAATGGTTTTCTCCATGGTTGGGGAGAATTTTATATTTTCGGATTTCTGTCTAAATGTTATCTTCACTGCAATTATAAAAGGTTCGGTTCAGCGTCTGAAAATTTTAGGCGAGTTATATGATGTCTGTCATGAGGGGTTTACCTTTTCAGCACTCTTGTATCATTCAACTGTCCATGAAAATATACTGCAATATTCATCTGCAATCTGCATCTTGTCAATGTCTAGTTTAGTCAAATAATGTGGTTAAATAAAATGGGGCATGTAATCAACCGTAACGCTGCATGCTAAATTGTTTTAAAAAAAGACGTGTTCTAGGGTGGTCGCATGACACAAGTTGTCTACAATGATAAATGAAAATTATTGCATATAAAAAATTGTTTCCGGTATGTTTTAAAATATAATCTTTAATATATATATATATATATATATATATATATATATATATATATATATATATATATATATATATATATATATATATATATATATATATATATATATATATATATATATATATATATATATATATATATATATATATATATATATATATATATATATATATATATATATATATATATATATATATATATATATATATATATATATATATATATATATATATATATATATATATATATATATATATATATATATATATATATATATATATATATATATATATATATATATATATATATATATATATATATATATATATATATATATATATATATATATATATATATATATATATATATATATATATATATATATATATATATATATATATATATATATATATTGTAAAATGACATTTACTTTAATATCTTGTCTAGTAGCTGCCGAAGTTTGTTTGGGTATAAAAGTGGCAGCGCTGGGGGAGAGGTTGTAGTTGTTGCCATAACAACAGCAAGTCCTGGGAGAATGTGGGTCAACGATGCCAACCATGGTTGCTTGATCCAAATATGTTGTCGTTGGATTACGAAAATGGAGATGAAGATGATGATGATCACATTAACTGTCTATGCCTTAGATGAGAGAAATAAAATGATGTGCATTGAAGAGATTATTATTTTCTTTTTTAAATAAAAAAATTATGTTTGCAACACTCAGCCGAGACGCCTTACTTCCGATGAGATACACCAAATTCTTCACAAATTCACATATGCAGAACGGCAGAAGGATATGTTTGTTACTATATTAAAACAAGGAAGGGGTCAAATGTGTGAAATAATATGTTTTTAATAAAAAAATATATAATTCATCATAATTGGTTCTACTTATAGTCTGTTTCAGGTCAATCATTTAATATTAAATTCATAAATCTTACATTCCTGAAACACTTGACCACCCTACACCATATTATACACTTGTCCATGCTATTAAAATATATTCAAGTGTTATTCACTAGTTTTAGGTACTCTGATCCAAATATATGTTCCATACACGTTAATAATAGGTTGTTTTATGTCCTATTTTGTTAAATTAATGCCACTTTTACATTGTAGTGCAATGAATATGTTAAGAGAGCAGCATTCTTGATAAAGTAGTCTATTATTAAATTAAATTTCTTTGATTGGATAAATTGGTGGGAAAAAAGTTAATCATATCATTGGATTAAAGATTTACGTGGCTCGTAATAGATTGTTACACTATTTAATATCTAATTTTAAATTAATGATACTTATATCTGTTTAGTTCTAGAATTATTTTTACACGTACATATATAGTTTTAGCTAAACTTTTTTTTTTCTTCCTGATATGTAATTTTACTATTTTTAAGGCTTAAATGTATTTTGGTTAGCCATATTGCACTCGTGCAAATTCAACCTTTTTATTTTTAATAGATTAATTTTAGATTTTTTATGCTGAGATCAATTCTAATTTTTTTAAGCATTAAAATTATGAGATTTTAGTCTCTTGTACTATAAATTTAATAATTTTTATTGATGTGGCATTAAGTAATGATATATACGTAGTTAGCCAAAACATTTGCTCACACTTGAAAACAAAATCTCCAGTCTTGATGCCTACAAATACATTTTTTTTATTCAAGTCAACCCTATATAGCACAAAGAAGAAATTAAGTGTAAATGTTGAAAATTATAAAGCAAATTCAATTGGAACAAACATAATTTTGCTTATCTAATTGAAAATCTAGATCTTTTGTCACCTTGATTTCACCAAATTTGACATAAGGTTCATCTCCTTTTTTTTTCCAACCTCACTGTAAATAGTGATGTTTATAAAATCGGATTGATCATTAAACCTATTAAAACATTAATTTAAACTTTAATGATTTAATCGTAGTTGAACTAATATTAATAAAATAATAATAATATTTAAATAATACATAAAGTAATATTACATAAACATAATAAATAACAAAATATTCTAATTTTTTTTATTAAATATATTTATTTAATATTTTTTAAAAATTAGAAAATAAAAAAATATATTTTTTTAAAAAAAGAGAGTGGTTCAACTCGATTTTTTGGACTGATTTTGAATCCGTTTATATAATTTTTAACTAGTTCTTGTACATATCGATTTTGACAACACAACTAGATAGTCTTATCTTTAAGGACCTCTCCGTCCTTTACATCGTAAAAGGCACTGAACATCACTTATATGATTATGGCTATAGTCGACTATTGATATGAATTGTTATGGTGGTCAACATTTAGTGACCATTAGATTAATTTGGTCCTATGAATACACCATGTAATTTCCTCATCCCTTCAGCACGTTCCAATCATTAACCACCACAGTAGAGTTTGACCTATAGTGACCCAATCAGAAACTGTCCCTTCCTCTTTCTCATTGTTGCTCTTCTTTGTGGCAATCCCATCACATTCTCTCCCACAACCACACAACTGGCTAGACATTCTCTAACATCTCACTCGAACAACCTAGTTGAGAACCATGGAGACAAAGGAAGACAATCTCAAGCAATCTAGGAACCGTTTATTCCTCTTCAATGTTGCTTTTCCTTTTCTACAGTGGTCCCATTCTCCACCACATGATGCACAACGAAGCCCAATCAAGGTTGTTGAAACCCCTTTGCACTAGATTTACACATCTTAATAATGTATCAACCATTCAATCCCTGCAAGTCATAAAATAGACCCAAAGAAGGAGAGAGAAGAAGAAAAGCGAGAGAGGAAGAGAAATAGAAAAAGGAATGTGGTGCCACCCTTGGAAACAAGTTTTGGTGGCATCATGCAATGGAGGGTCACTTATGATGGTGTTGCATTATGGATGAATGCAAACACAAACAAAGGTATGGAGTAATTCAATATGAAAGGACGGAGGTAAGACTATTTTAAATTAGATTAATCTAGTGATAAATACAAATGGTCTACCATACACCATATTGTACATCTCCACCTTAGCTTTTGTCCACTTTTACATGAATTTTTCCATAGAATGTGTAAAAGGAATGAGAAATTCAATGGTAAAGGTCCATTTGATTCAAAAGAGAGAAAAAAAGGAATTTTAATGGAGGGGATTGAAGGGAAAAGGGGAAGGAATAGGAGGGAAAGAGTTAAAATTTTTGTTTGGTTGAAATCGAGGGAAAGAAAAATATCTCCTTTCTTGTTTGGTTTAAACCAATTTACTTTTAAAATTTAAAATTTAATAAAATAAATAGGGATATTTTGGATATTATATTAAAATGTTTCAAAATTCTCACCCCAAATCTCTAATAATGGAGTGGAGTTAAAATTAGGCTAGGAAGGATTTTGCTCTCTTCCATCTTTCATCCCTTCTTAAAAATAGGGGTGTGCAAAAAATTCAAATTGATCCGAACCGATCTATAACCGATCCGATCCATATTAAAAAATCCGATCCATTTTGAAAAAAAATCCGAACCGAACCACTTTATAAACCGGTTCAGTTATCCGATCCATTTTTACAAAGTGGATCGGTTCGGTTCAGTTTGGTTTTCTAAAAAAACCGATCCATATATGAGTAAAAAAGTGGATAACTGCACCGTACCGAACCGATCCAATTTCAAAAAAACCGATCCATATTTTAAGAAAACCAAACCGGTCCACTTTATAAAAAATGGATCGGTTAACCGATCCACTTTTATAAAACGGTTCGGTTCGGTTTGGATCGGTTTTTTGAAAAAACCGATCCATGAACACCCCTACTTAAAAATTGAACCAAATAATATTTTTTTAGAATCCCCCTCCCCTTCCCTCAAACCAAATGTAAAAGAAAAAAAAGTTTAAACAACAAATAAAACGAACAAACAAATTAAAAGAATAAATCAAAGGTACAATAAATTACCTAAAATTATCTTTAAAAATAAAATTTAAGACAAAATTGCATGATAAAAGAAAAATATCTTTGATAGAGATTCTAATACGTTGTTGAGAAAAAAGCCTTAATAACGTATATTAGTTTGAGATAAAGGGAGAAAACAATGAAGATGGAAAAGAAAAAAAAAAAAAAAGAGTGAAACAAGAGAGAATAACAAGTTAGTGTGAGAGGTGAAAATTTTACCATAACTTCGATTGAGTGTTATGATTTAAAGTAAAAAAATAAAATAAAAATGAAATAAATAAAATAAATAAAAGTGACGTATCTCTTATCACCCATTTTTTATATTTACCCTTTGTAAATGGATTTTTTTCTCTACAATAATATAAAGGTTTTACCTATATCTAATGTGTTGATAATTATTTTTACACTAAACTAATTTGTGTCACTAAAAGCATTTATAACAATATGTCAATTTCTTTGTATTACGGTGACACAATATTAATTTTAATCATTTGTAATTTATTTTAAAAATTATTAAATTTAAATTTAAATATAAATATATATGAGAAATACAAACTAAAACACATAAGAAACTTAAAAAAAAAATTTCTTATTTAAAATCCTTTCTTTTTACGAGAAAATCTTAAAAAACACTTTAAGAAACTTTTGTGCGATAACAAATGAGTAATTTAACCTAATTCTTATTATAACTTGTTTGAATAAATTTTTTTGACAAGTATTTATTAATGATAAAATAAAATAAATTTTGAAATAAAATAAAATAAATTTATACATAATTAAAAAATATTTTAAAAAACTAATATGAAAGAAATTTTACAAATTAAATTATGAATAATTAATTTTAGTTCAAGAAAAAGAGCCCTTCCGTTTCGTGAAATTTTTACTTAAATAATATTTTTTTTAAAAAAAATTACAAAAATATCAACTGTGCAGATTTATTTACCAATGTAGAACTGTTTACTGTTCATGCTCAGAATTCGGTTCCCGGGGAACCGAATTCTGAGCTTCAAAATCTTATTTTTTTTTTTGTTTTTTCAACTCAGAATTCGGTTCCCCGGGAACCGAATTCTGAGTTACTTTAATTTTTTTTTTTTCTTCGTGTTTCTGGCCCATTTTGGGCAAATTTTGGAAGTGGAACGGCCCGTTCCGAAAGCAGAACGGGCCGTTCTGCTTAAAGACACAGAGGCCTTTTTTTTAAATTAAAACGGGCCCAGAACGGCCTGTTCCAGAGGCAAAATTTTAACATGTTTTTGAATCTGGAACGGCCATGAAACGGCCCGTTCCGGAGGACGTTTTCAGGAAGTAAACCTTGGTTTGGAACGGGCCGTTCTGGTTTTGGAACGGCCCGTTCTGAGCAAACAGTAAAAAAAGATTAAATTTTTTATTTTTTATTTAAAAAATAATAATAATAAAGTTAACAAAAATTATAATAATATCAATTAATCAGGATTCAATTTGATAGTGAAATGTGATAATTTGACCCTTAATTTTTTAAATTTAATTTATAACAAAATATATTATTTTAATAAAATTGATTGAATAGTTAAAATTTTATCCGATAATTATATTGTTGGAGAGAATATATTCCCTATAGTTCAGGGATAATTGTACGTTTTAAGCGCAAGATATTATCTTAAGTGATTGTTTAAATATATTATTTTAATAAAATTGATTGAATAGTTAAAATTTTATCCGATAATTATATTGTCGGAGAGAATATATTCCCTATAGTTCAGGGATAATTGTACGTTTTAAACGCAAGATATTATCTTAAGTGATTGTCTAAATATATTATTTTAATAAAATTGATTGAATAGTTAAAATTTTATCCGATAATTATAGTCGGAGAGAATATATTCCCTATAGTTCAGGGATAATTGTACGTTTTAAACGCCAGATATTATCTTAAGTGATTGTCTAAATATATTATTTATAGCTGATATTAAATGTTTCTTAACTTCTAAACATTAATATTAAATATTATTTCATGAATCCTGATTAATTGATATTATTATAATTTTTATGTTAATTTTATTATTTTTATTTTAAAAAAAAATAAAAAATTTAATCTTTTTTTTACTGTTTGCCCAGAACGGGCCGTTCCAAAACCAGAACGGCCCGTTCCAAACCAAGGTCTACTTCCTGAAAACGTCCTCCGGAACGGGCCGTTGCATGGCCGTAAAAAAGGCCTCTGTGTCTTTAAGCAGAACGGCCCGTTCTGCTTTCGGAACGGGCCGTTCCACTTCCAAAATTTGCCCAAAATGGGCCAGAAACACGAAAAAAAAAATAATTTTAAAGTAACTCAGAATTCGGTTCCCCGGGAACCGAATTCTGAGCATGAACAGTAAACAGTTCTACATTGGTAAATAAACCTGCACAGTTGATATTTTTGTAATTTTTTTTTTAAAAAATATTATTTAAGTAAAAATTTCCCGTTTCGTTGCACTTTTTCTTTTGTTTTGTTGTCTCAGCGTTTCTCCGAGTCAAGTAAGTAGCAAATGGGCCCAAGAAAATGCTAAGAACAAGAAGATCCATTTTTGGGTCACCCATTTGGGTCCGAATGTTGACAAAGCCAGAGCACTGAAGCAGAACAACCAACAAGGAGAAGAAGATGGATGCGAAAGATTGGAACCTTCTGGATGAAGCGTTAGGGCTTCACAACAACAACGCGAAGCCATGGCCTCTGTGTGGTCGCTTCGTGCTTGTTGAGGACTGTGTCGACACAAGCGCCGCTTTCGTTCTTCATCACATTCTCAAGCGCTCCTTCTCTTCTCACCCTTCTTCAGCCCTTCTCTTCATCGCCTTCTCTCACCCCTTTTCCCACTACGATCGCGTCCTCCGAAAACTTGTATTTCCCCTTCTCTCTATATGCTTTTATTCGGAACCGTGTTTGTTGCTTCGGATTTTTATGTTTTGGTGGTGCTGGTCATGCGTGTTTTGTATGATTGTATTGCAATTGGTTTCTTGTTGAACTGCTTTTGTTGCTCGTAAAGCTAGAGTTAGAGTGTGATTGGATGAATTTCATTGTAAGCACGTGGATTGGATAGTTTTATCTCTTAAGTTAAAATTAGCTGCGTAAGTTAGAATCGGCTTTTCAATAAGCTAAATGAAAGGACTTTTATGAGGGTTTGATTGGATAAATTCTTTTGGAAGCTCTTCTGAAGTTAATAAGGAAAAATGAAAAATGTTTTTTTTTTCTTTTATAAACTAAAATTAGGTTACGGATGAGTTAATTTGTAGAAGTTTTTTCATATAGCTTCTTCAAAAACTTATTTTTTTAATTTATGCATATAAACTAGTTTTGGATTATGTAGAAATTTATTTTATTACGATGTTTTTGTTTTCTTGGTGGGTGGGTGGTATTTGACAATCTTCATGGGTGCATGTGATAGGGTTGTAACTTAGCTGCTCAAAGAGATAATGGCAGATTCCTTTTCCTTGACATGCTTATGTTGCAGTGTCCAGGTGAGAAAATCAGGAATTGGTATTTGGTTCTTTTTCTTTCCTTGATACATTTTTCTCAGTTTGTTTGAAAAAAATGATGTAAGAATGGATTCATTGCGATAGTGTGTGTTCGATTATTACCAGTGTACTATTTTTAAAGTTTAGAGCAGGAACTACAAGTTAAGTGTATTTTAAAGGATAGTCCAAAAGCCATTGGTTCTAGGTGGGCTTTCTCTTCCGAGAAACCTTGCATTACACTTAGACTGATGCTAAGGAGTCAAAGGGAGGATTTGTGTCTCTTTTTAAACCTTTGTCCAGCCGTTTTGCAACCTGATACAGCAAAGAACTGCAAAATGTTTGCTTCCAAGTCTAAACCCTCTAAAGTGTGTATACAAAAGTTCTTCAAATATGTGTGCAAAAACAATATTGTATATATGATTCTCTTTTTTATAGGATCAGAAGTATTTGTCTTATTAATTTATTTAGGGTTTGTTAGCTTGAGAAATGTCAGCCTTTTTGGAAGAATAGATAAAATAAAACCTATTGCAAAGATGTCTTTGGTCCAAAGAATAGTGTTATAGTTATTATAATACATGTCCAATTAAAGTAGCTTATATCGACATTGCAGAGAATCAATAGTACTTTTTCAATTTCAGTTTTCTGCCTTGGGCCTTAAGCTAAGTCCTAGTATTGCCGGGTCTTATAGTGCTTCACAGCCCATACTCTTGAATCTTATCCTTAAGGTCTTTGTCATAATTTGTTATTAATGTTGTTGAAACGTGTTTGAGAGAAATTATATTAGAGCCATACAGCAGCCAAATAAAAAGCAACTATCTAAACAAAGGCAAGAGCAAATATATCGACTATGAATTACCCAATCCAAGGAAAACTGAAATTATGACCCAAAAGGAGGCAGGAAGGAGAATACAGTTTCCTGCCTATGAATAAGAGCCAAACTTGCTTGATAGAAGCACTGGGAGATTTGGTAGGGTTGAGGAGGGAAGTTCCTGTGGCAATCTACATCCAAACTGTTCTTTGGTGTTTATGAGTTGTGCATAATGCTCTTAATTTGGAAGGTCCTTTTCACATCAAACACTTGATCTAGGACCATCCCTTATCCCCCAATTTGGAATCTTGTCATTCTGTTCTATTCCATTACATTTCTATCACTTCTAACATAGCTTTACGGGCAATAATGAAAATGAGAAATTTATAGTCTGATGGATTATATACTTGGCTGAGTAACATCAAATTTATTGATGACTAGATGAAGGGAAACCCAATCATGATGGGCTTGCTTCTATATTTGAGAAAATTGAAAGAGTGATTGCTGCGTTACATCAAGACAAGAAATTCATCTCTATCATAATAGATGATATATCTTTTCTTGAAATTGCTGCTAACGGCTCTTCAAATGATGTTTTGAACTTGCTGCATTATTGCCACACGTTAACTTCAGAATATGTAAGATAATACTACCTTAAATGTGTTTATATCTATTCCAACGTTTGGAGTTTTATTTCTGTGTTTGTATCACAGGGTTGTGCATTTATTGCACTTGACCATAAGGACATTTATTTGAATGGAGACAAGGCTGCTGTTATCTTAGAGATGGAGTACGTTGCTGACATTTTGGTCAAGGCTGAACCATTGTCCACTGGTTTGGCAAAAGATGTGCATGGACAGGTATAGTTGTACCATTCGTCAGTACAATAAAATTCATATGAAACTGTTTATATGATTCCTCATTTTTAAAATGTTATCTTACTGAGGATATTCTTTATGACTTCCATTTGGTAGAGATTGACACCAACACCACGAAGGAGTTGCTATCTTTCCATCTAGGTCTAAGCTTATGAAAAAATTGTCAATTGCATTTTTTCATTTTGTTTAAATATACCCTGCTGTTTCTGTTACAATGGAAAATAGAATAGGAAAAATATTATAGGAAAGCTAAGAAAAAGTGAAAGTTTATTAAAGACAATAAGACACTTACCTTTGGCTTTCCAAACAAAGGTTGTTTCTCAAATTTCTGTCATTCCTTCTGTATTACATCCCAATGACCTAAGAAAACTGTCTTCATTTTTATGCTAGCTTAAATTTATTCTATTTGTTTCATGGGACCACAGTCTCCTCAAAATACAGGAGAGTGCTTGTTTACATAGTTGATTTGCAGATCTTTAAACAATGATATTTTCTTCCATAGCATGTCTGATCCACAATTCAATTTTTCAGCTTCCTATTTTGATCCCTCTAAATATCATCATCAATGTCAGTTAGGGCTTGTTTAAGGCATTCTGAATGCTACCCTACCTGTCAAAACCGTGTTGCTCATTGTGTATTTTAGGAAGTTTTATATTTTATCCTTGCTGTAATCTTATTCTTTATTACAACCATAGTAGTCAATCCCGGATAGCGGCGCAGAGCGGCCGACCCTAAAACTGGGATAGCGGGATGACGCGGAGCGGGATAACCGCTATTTAAATATTAATTTATATATATTAAATAATTAATAATATATATATAAAAGCTAAAAAAACAAAAAAATAACTCTAAATTCATGCTGCTGAAATAGAAATAGAATTTTCTGAAATTAAAAATAAAATTTTCTGAATTAAATTTAATCAGAAATTAAAAATAAAATTTGCTGAATTAAATTTAATCAGAAATTAAAAATAAAATTTTCTGAATTAAATTTAATCAGAAATTAAAAATAAATTTTTCTGAATTAAATTTAATTAGAAATTAAAAATTAAATTTGCTGAATTAAATTTAATCAGAATTTAAAAATAAAATTTGTTGAATTAAATTTAATCAGAATTTAAAAATAAAATTTGTTCAATTAAATTAAATCAGAAATTAAAAAAAAATCAGTTGAAATAATTTAATAAATAATTAAAAAAAAATATGTTGCATGTTGCATAAAAGGCATCCTCGAAGGAGAATAGAAGGAGAATAGAAGACAAACGCGCGTCGGAGCTTGCGGCCACGTCGGAGCTGCGTCGGACCTGGAGGCGCGTCGGAGTCCGAGGTGCGTCGGAGCTGGAGGCGCGTCGGCGATGGAGGTGCGTCGGAGCCGGAGTTCGTCGGAGCTGCACGCTGCACGCACGATAGCCAGAGAAGAAGAAAGGGAGAGACGAAAGGAGGGGTTTGGTTTGGATGAGTCTGAAATCGCGAGAGGGAAAGGGAGGATTAGGGCAAAAAAACCCCATTGAAAAGACCGACTTACCCTTAATGAAGGGTAAGTCTGAAATCGCGCCGCGATTCCGCGATTTGGGCCGCTCCGCTCCGCCTCCGACGCGGCCGCTCCAGCCGCTACACAAATCCGCTCCGCTCCAGCAGCCAGATTGCGGGGTGAGGCCGCTCCGCTCCGGAGTGCCGCGATAGCGGCCGCTCCGGCCGCTATTGACTACTATGATTACAACTATATCTTGCTATTAATAATAGGTTCATGTATTTAGAAACAATCCCATAATCACGGGGATTTGTTTCCCTAGAATTAGCTATGCATATTTCCTAAAATTGCCAGCAGGCTCATGTATATATAGGTCCAATGACCTCATAATTATAAAATAAGAAAAGAAAAAGTGAATATTAATATATTATTCCTTCTAAATTTGAGATGGTATCAAAACTCCTGATCTTTGGGAGCCTCTGACCGTGCCCGTAAACCCTAAGTTGCAGCCTTCATTGCTGCGCGACCTTGAGCCTTATTGCAACCTTCATTGTTGCCCAATCCACTCTACCTGGATCGCACATGCCTGTGATGGATGAGATCGTGAATCCTAGGTACAAATCCTAGATTGTTGGAGAATTGTAGAATGTTCATTTTGCTTATTGATTAAATGGAAAGAATTATCTCAAATGGTCACAATTCATTAGGACCATATTGAAAGGAAAAGGAAAGGTCAGTCACTTGACTGATAATGCCCCTGATGAAAAGGATGCCAAGTTCAATTCATAGGATGAAGAAGACTCCGTGATCATGACATGACTGTGGAATTCAATGGTCCTAAAAATTAGTGATACCTGCATGTTCCTTAAATCAGCAAAGGAAATTTGGGAGGCAGTAGAACAGGCCTATTCTAAGGCCAAGGATGTTGCTCAAATCTATGATGTAAAGGTGAAAACTGTGGTTGCCAAACAGGGAAACAAATCAATTCTAGAATATGTCAATCAACTCAAGTCCTATGGATGGAATTGGATCACTATCAAGTTATAAAAGCAAAGTGTTCAGAAGACTCAACAATCCTTAAGGAGTATATTGAACAAGATAGAGTCTATGATCTTTTGGTAGGCCTAAATCCTAAATATGACCAAGTCCAAATTCAAATCCTGGGAAAATTGAAAGTCCCAGGGCTTAATGAAGTAGTAGCCATTATCTAGAGAGAAGAAAGTAGGAGAGGATTGATGTTGGAGACCCCAATTGTTGAAAGCTTAGCAATGGTGGCCGAAGGAGGAACAACCGTGGTTGCTAACCAGAGGAAAAACTGGTTTCCCAATATGGAGAAAAAACATGAGGAAGTTTGGTGTACCTACTGCAACAAGTTGCGCCATATAAGGGAGGAGTGTTGGAAATTACATGGAAAACCCTCAAGCCAAGAATGGGGGCATAAAGGAGGCCCTCCAAAAAGGGGAGGGCAAGGGCAAGCACACATTGTTAATGGACAAGGTGAAGAATTTGTCCGGTTGAATCATGAAGAGATAGAAAGGGTAAGATCCTTCCTTAGTAAATTGGAGAAGCCCACAGGTACGTGCTCCTTATCATATTCTAGTAAGTTTCCATTCTCTTTTGAACTTAATGCTTTAGATACTCCCTTTACCCATTATTGGATACTAGATTTTGGAGCCACTAACTTGATTAAGAAACAAAAATCTGAGGTTAGCTTCGTTTTTTTTTTCTTCTCCAGTTTGTCTTAATGATTAAGAATCAATTTGGAGTTAGTATTAAGAGAATTAGGTCTGATGATGCCAAGGACTACTTTAACCTTGTGCTCAACTCTTTTTTCCAAAAGGAAGGGATAATCCATGAATCTTCATGTGTGAACACACACCAACAAAATGGGATTGTAGAAAGGAAAATGGGCACTTATTAGACCAAACTAGGGCTCTACTTTTTCAAAATACTGTTCCTTAGAAATTTTGGGGGGAAGCCCTTCTTACTGCCACCATAGTAGTCAATAGCGGGCGGAGCGGCCGCTATCACGGCGCTCTGGAGCGGAGGGGCCCGACCTTGCCATTTTGATGTTGTCGCGTCACAGATGTGTGTCGTGGCTGGAGCGGCTGCGTCGGTGGCGGAGCGGAGCGGCCAGAAACGCTAGAATCGCGACGCTTCTTTGACATACCCTTCATTAAGGGTAAGTTTGTCTTTTCAGTTGGGCTTTATTTGCCCTAATTTTTCTCTCCCTCTTGCGAAACCACTCCTTTTCTCACGGCTTGCACTCCCTCTCCTCTCTCTCTCTCAGACGATTGATTCTTCTCTCTCGAGGACGACCGTCGACGCACTCCGGTTCCGACGCTCCTCCAATTCCGCAACGCACTCCAGTTTCGACGTAGTCCTCCAGCTCCGACGCGCCTCCACTCCGACTCTGAGGCTCCTCCAGCTCTGTCGTGCCTCGTTTGTCTTCTTTTCTCTTCTCTGTTCCAATTTTATAATTCAACAGAATTTTTTTTTATTTCTCATTAAATTTAATTAAGCAGAATTTATTTAATTTCTGAATAAATTTAATTTAGCAGATTTTATTTTTAATTTCTGATTAAATTTAATTCAGCAATTTTTTTTAATTTCTAATTAAATTTAATTCAGCAGATTTTTTTTTAATTTCTGATTAAATTTAATTCAGCAATTTTTTTTAATTTCTGATTAAATTTATTTCAGCAGATTTTTTTTTTAAATTTCTGATTAAATTTAATTCAACAGATTTTTTTTAAATTTCTGATTAAATTTAATTCAGCAGCTTTTTTTTTATAGCTTTTATATATATATTATTAATTATTTAATATATAAATTAATATTAAAATAGCGGTTATCCCGCTTTGCATCATCCTGCTATCCCGTTTTTAGGGTCGACTGCTCCGCTCCGCTATCCGGGATTGACTACTATGATTGCCACCTACCTAATCAATAGGTTACCCTCTAAAATCTTAGAATCAAAAAGCCCCATGGAAGTCCTATCCTCATTCTACCCACACTTGGACCCTACCAATAAACTCCAACATAGAATATTTGGGTGTGTATCCTTTGTGCATGTTCATAGTAATGAAAGGGAAAAACTGGATCCTAGGGCTGTCCAAGGTATATTCTTAGGGTACTCAACCACACAAAAGGGATACAAATGTTTTCACCCCCCAACAAAAAGATTCTATGTGTCAAGGGATGTCACCTTCAACGAACAAGAGAGCTACTTCAAGCAGCCTTATCCTCAGGGGGAAAATTTAAGAGAGGAAGATAAGCCTCTCAGGCTCTCAAATATAGCATTTGGACCTGAAATTGGGACAAATAACGTTGCTGTCCCTGAAACCAAGAGAGAACAAAACAAGCACCTGAACCTACACCCAATGGTGGGAAATTTGGGGAAAATATGGTATATTCAAGGAGAGACAAGGCCATTCCAGAATCTGTCCATGTCCAAGAATCCAACCCACCATCATTACATGAGGTAACACATTCTAATCCTATAAATTCCAATAATTCTAATAAGTTTGTTTTTGAAAATTCAGAAGCACATGTGGACCAAAACCTGGACCTTCCCATTGCCCTTAAAAAAGGAACTATGCACCCAACAACCACTTTACCCTCTATCAAACTTCCTATCCTTTGAAAAATTCTCTCCTACTCATAAAACCTTTCTCACAAACCTAAACTCCACACCCACACCTTCCTATGTATCTGAAGCATTAACTGATAGGAAATGGAAACAAGTCATGGATGTGGAAATGGAATCGTTTTAACAATAATAAGACCTGGGAACTTGTCACCTTACCATCTGGAAAAAAACCAGTAGGGTGCAAGTGGGTATATACCGTAAAGGATCGGGCTGATGGGACTATTGAACGTTACAAGGCAAGGTTAGTGACCAAAGGATTCACTCAAACTGATGGAGTGGATTACTTGGAGACATTTGCTCCGGTTGTTAAAATGAACACGGTAAGAGTAATATTGTCATTAGTAGCAAATCATGATTGGGACCTGTAGTAGTTTGATGTGAATAATGCATTCCTACACGTAGACCATGAAGAAGAAATATACATGGAGTTGCCCCTTGGTTATGATGGACGAGTTGTTGCTGGAACTGTTTGCAAGCTAAAAAAAGCTCTATGGGCTGAAACAATTCCCAAGAGCATGGTTTGGAAGATTCACCAAAGTTATAACAAGTCTGAGCTATAAATAGAGCCAAGGGGATCGGACTTTATTTATCATTCATTCAGTTTCAGGGGGAGTAACAATATTATTGGTGTATGTAGATGATATTATAGTAACTAGGGATGAAAAAAAAGGAGCAACAAGTGTTGAGTCAATGCCTTGCCATGGAATTCGAGATCAAGACATTAGGGAGACTTAAAATATTTTTTGGGAATTGAAGTGGCCTATTCCAAGAAAGGAGTCTTCATATTTGAACAAAAATATATTACTGACTTGCTTAAAGAAATAGGTAAGATAGCCTGCAAACCAACAAGTACTCAAGTTGATTGAAATATAAAGTTGGGAAGTGCGGAGGAGGATATTGCCGTGGACAAGGAAATGTATCAAAGACTTGTGGGCAGACTTATTTACTTATTTCACACTAGGTCAGACATTACTTTTGCTATGAGTCTAGTCAACTAGTTTATGAACCAACCAAAGGAAGCACATTTACAGGCTTCCTTTAGAATTGTCCAGTATTTAATAGGGACTCCAAGAAGAGGGATTTTGTTCAAATGTAATAAGAGTGAGTCTTGAAGCATATATGGATGCATATTATGCAGGGTCAGTTGTGGATAGGAGATCAACTACTGGATATTGCACCTTCCTTGGTGGAAACCTAGGGACTTGGAAGAGCAAAAAACAGAGTGTAGTAGCTAGATTGAGTGCTAAAGTAGAATTTCGTGCAATGGCCCAAGGAATATGTGAACTTCTATGGCCAAAGATTATGTTGGAAGACCTGAAGATAAGGTGGGACGAACCTATGAGGTTATATTGTGACAATAAACGTGCAATTAGTATAGCCCACAACCCGGTGCAGCATGATAGAACTAAACATATCAAGTGGACAGACATTTTATCAAGGAAAAGCTAGACAGTGGCATGATTTGCACCCCATGTGTCCACTCAGAGTCAACTTGCAGATATACTCACCAAGGGGCTGAACTTCCTTAACTTTGAAAGAATTATATCCAAGCTGAGAATGAATAATACTTACTTTCTAGCTTGAGGGGCAGTGTCAAAATGGTGCTGCTCATTGTGTATTTTAGGAAGTTTTATATTTTATTTTTGCTGTAATCTTATTCTTTATTACAGCTGTATCTTGCTATTAATACTAGGTTTATGTATTTAGAAACAATCTCATAATCACATGGGTTTGTCTCCCTAGAATTAGCTGTCCATATTTCCTAAAATTGCCAGCAGGCTCATGTATATATAGGTCCAATGTCCTCATAATTATAAAATAAGAAAAGAAAAAGTGAATATTATTCTGATAGACACCAACTGGTATGAGAATAAGGACTGAATTTTATTCAACTTAACTGATACGGAATTACAAATTACATAGGAAATTTAGTAAACTGATTTGAGTGCAAAGGTTTCCTCACAAGATGTTCGAAAGCTTGGTCTCTCCCTTCCTGAAACCACTCAAAAACTGCCTAACCTTTGTCCTGCTTCTTCTGCTATTTTTATTCTGCTAATAACTGCCTGGAGGCAGTTACGCTTGCCCCCACTAATAGCACCCAGTGCCTAATTAAAATAATAATAACTGCTAAAATAATTAATAACTGCTAAAACAATTCAGTCCTATTATAAAACCTAAGTCTTGGCTCTCTTATAATATTTACTTATAAGAGGCCTAACATATTCCTTCTAAATTTGAGACTACCAATTAAAGAATAATAAAAGGAGAAAAGAAATCATTTATTGTTTTTCTTCCCATTGTTGAAATATGTTGTAGTAATGTAGTGGTAACACTGCAACTGCTAAATAGCTCATGCTACTGTTTGTGTTAATTCTTTGGATTTCTCATTTCTGTTCAAGATGATTTAATATAGCAACTTTTGTCTGTAACTTTGGATTAAATCATATCATATCAACCTTGGTTAATTATGTTTTATTGTTCATCTTTTGCAGTTGATGGTGTTAGATAAGGAAACACAACATCAACATGGAATTTCGGCCATTAAGACTCACAATTTTCACTTCAAGATCAAGGAAAATGGCATTGAGTGCTTTTATCCTGGCACAAAAATCTAATGCTGATCAATAATGCTTGTTGTACAACTGTAATCTTGGAAGAGTAAATACTTAATCTTTTTATTTGTACTTTTCATTTATTTGGTAGAAAGTGATTCTTGACTGTGCAATCTTAAAAGAGTCAAGAATACTTCATTTTTTTTGTTTACTATTCATTTATTTGGTAGGAAGTGATTCTTAATTTTTAGTGGGGACCTTATTTATTTTAAAATGTCTTTGAATGAATTTTCACTCGATATTGTAAGATGACAATCTCCAATATTATTATACTCGAATTGGTCATTGACATAGTTAAGTGAGTTAATGGCCGTGTTTAAAAATTGGTCGTCGAATAGATTGGTCTGACCGGGAACCTGTGCTGTAACTTGTTCTAGTCCAAGCCCCCTTGTTCAATTGGGTGTACCATTGATTGACTTTTAGTTGGTATTACTTGGCTGGTTTTTCAGAAGAGCTAGTGAATTGACAATTTGAGTGACTTGGACCAGTTTGTGAATTTTTTTTTAAACATTGAAATGTTTCAATTACAACAATTCAAAACTAGAAACATGCACCTGACTTTCAAACACACCCTGAAAGAATGTCTTTTGTAGAGTGAATCACCAAATTTTTTTTTGTGACATAATGGGGCTAGGCTCCTAAAGAAGCAAGATGATTAAAAGTTAAAATCCTCTTGGAAATCTCTCGGAAGAGTAGTAAAAGAGGCCTCAACCAGTAAAGTAGTTTAATGTCTAGTATATGGTAGAGAACAGTGAGACAATTCCCACTGATGTGTATTACTGTTACATATCAAATATGAGAGATCAGTATACAATACAAAAGTTAAGTCAGAAGAATGAAAAGACTGACACCTATCACTGCAGCTAGATAAAGTCAAAACAGCTTTATAAAAGCTGAACATGAAGGTAATAGAAACTTCTAACTTAACAAAAGTAAAGGAAATAAAAGTAGGAGCAACATTATAAACCTTAAGGTGAAAATTCATATTTATACCATGCCTTGCAAACAATTCTGTTACATTGGATTTAGGCTGATAATTCAGGCATGTCTATTTCTATCACATTGGATTCTAAAAATGTTTCTTTAAATAGAAATGATACTGTAGTTAGTGATGAAGTTGTTTCTACAAATTCTGGCACATCAGATCAGCAGTCTGTTGATCTCCTAGTAACAACGTGCAAGGATAGTTCAGAGAATGCTGGAAGTGGTTCAGTGTCTCTTCCAGCATCAGGTATCAAGAACAAACCAGTTTCAGAGTCCAGTAAGGTGAAAACTTCATCAAAGGGGAAAAAGAAACGAAAAGAGATTCTTCAGAAGGTTGATGCTGCTGGGTCAACATCTAATCTTTATAATGCATACAAGGGACCTGAGGAAAAGAAAGAAACTGCTGTAAGTTTAGAGAAAACAGAACTTGATGGAAAAGAAAGTGCTTCTACTTCTGGAAATTTAGAGCAGATGCCACTGATGCGGCTGAGCCAGATGCTGGAGCAGGTGAGAAAAATAAGCAGAGTAAAGCTGAACTTGTTGATTGGGAGGATGCTGCTGACATGTCTACTCCAAAGTCCAAAACTAAAACCTAACAGGATACTGATGGAAGTGCAGTTACTGCCAAAAAAGTATTCTTGAGATTTCTTTTTGAAATTTGCAGAGCAATGTACTGATCTTCCTGAAGGGTTTGAAATCACGGCAGACATAGCTGAGGTTTTGATGAGTGCTAATGTTAATTCTCATGTAATTGAATGTGATGTGATTCACATTCTTCTACTGGAAGAAGACATATGATGGGTATTATTAGATTGATTGGAGAACTATATACGAAGAAAATGTTGGCAGAGAGGATTATGCATGAATGCATCAAGAAATTACCAGGTTAGTATCAAGATCTGGATGAAGAATATATTGAAGCTTTGTGCAAGCTGATGATTACTGTTGGGGAGATGATTGACCATCCCAAAGCAAAGGAACATATGGATGCATATTTTGAAATGATGAGATCATTATCAGTCAGCACAAACTTATCTTCTAGGGTGAGGTTGATGTTGAAGGATGTCATTGATTTGAGGAAGAATAATTGGCAACAAAGAAGAAAAGTTGAAGGCCTAAAGAAGATTGAGGAGGTGCACAGAGATGCTTCTCAAGAGCGGATGATTCATGTTATCTCCTAGTTCTCAGATGGGTGGACTGCATGGATTGCCTACTCAAGTTCAAGGGTCTGGTTCTCATGATGTTCACATGGATGAAAGGCAAACTTATGAGGCCAGGACATTGTCAGTTCCCTTGCCTCAAAGACCTTCAGGTGACGAGTCAATCACCTTGGTATTTATGGGTGGTCCTTCTAGAGGCATGTCCAGTAGAGGTCCACCTGCAGTTTCAAGTTTGACTGGTCTTAATGGTTATAATAATTTGCCAGAGAGCATTTCATACAGCTCTAGGGAGGACCCTGCATGGAGATATACACCAGATAGATTTTCCAGTTCAACTGCTTACGATCAATCTAGTGTTCAAGATCGGAAAATAAATTATGGCAGCAGGGACTTCAGAAATTCAAATAGGGTTCTTGATAAACCAGTTGTAACTTCACCACCTGCCAGAATGCAAGGTACAACAGTCTCCCAGGATAAGAGGAAAACTTGTGTGCTTAATGTATGCTGTGTCTACCATTTTGTTGTTATTTAGATTTGCCTTAGTTGATTTAGCCGCTTCTTTTCTTCTTAAAGGTCAACTTCCTGAAGTTGCCTGTGCTATATACATTAGTGTTTTTTTTTTTTTTGAACTTTTGCTAAGCCTATGTGTGCTGCTTTTGAAGTTTCTATCACTGTTTCACTCAGCATCTGAAAATGTTTAACTCCGTATGTTTCTAAATATAGGATTTTGTGTTGGTGATGATGATTTTCATTATATGGTTATGAACCCTGAGTTTTATGGTTGTATGTAATAACCTTTTCTTATGGTTTCAAACTTGCTGTGTGTTCAACGGGCTTTTGTCTATTGTTTTAGGAAAATGTTGTGATTATTTCTCTCTGTTTGGCCTCTTTTCTTTTTCCAACCTATGATTTTAGAAAAAATGGCATGTTGAAGACCTTAACATCTCTTCATTACTGTTATCCACATGGTTCAAAGTGATGGCCAAACCATGGGGTTTGCTTATTTTTCCCCTGCTTTTATTTCTATTCCTTTTTAGGATTCAAACTGTATTTTTTGCTACTGCTACAATCATTTTAATTATTATTTTGCTACAACATCCAGTAAATGTTGATTGTCGAGAGTTTCATGATATAGATTCAATGTATGTTTGGCAAGTGTTTGCAAAATTGATTTTGATGTCATGTGATTTATATTTGAATGTCTAAAAGCAAGTTACTATTAAATTCAGTATAAAATTTTTTATCCAACACAAACTACATGAACTTGGTTCAACTCAATTCTGGAGCCATGGTCAGTTATTTAACTTCAAATCAAACATGTGGACATTTGCTTAATTAAAGCCATGTTTGCTGATATTTTAATGTGATTCTGGATCATGTAACATGAATCGAAACATATAGCCAATGTTTAATTTTAAGTACGGTCACAATGAATGTTGATCTCTAATTTTGTAGTGTTGCAGTGATGATTTATTTTGCAGTTATTTTGTCTTATGACATTCATCTAACTGTAAGTTATTGAATCCAGTGCTAGAGATTTGAACGAAGTTGTTATATGCATCAAAGATCCGAACTCTCCAAGCTTTCATCTTTCCATGGTTTCTCTGAGTGATGGACTCATTTGAGAGAAAGGACACAGAGAGTTCTTTTGTCCCAGCTGCTTATTTACCTTGTGAAATCTGAGGATGGACCCTTGGGTCAAGCCCAGCTTAATAAAGGGTGAGATTATTCCATCTGTCATTCCGAGAGTAAAGAAAGAGATTGTTACTCATTCCTTTTTATTATTCCTGGATAGGTTGGAATCTGTTCTGATTACTTTGGAAGATGTGGTTAATGGTGCCCCCAAAGCACCAGAGTTTCTTGGCTGTGTTATTGCCAAAGCTATAACAGAGCATGTAGTCTCTTTGAAAGAGATTGGGCGGTTAATACATGAGGGTGGAGAGGAACCGGGCAGCCTCTTTGAAGTTGGACTAGCAGCTGATGTTCTTGGAAGCACCTTGGAGGTAATAAAAATGTATAAGGGTGATGCTGTTTTGAGTGAGATCTGTGCAAGCTCCAACTTGTGGTTGGAGGCCTTCCAGCCACTGAAACCTCTTACATCAAGGAAATTAGAGAAATTTATTTAGGGGGATAGAGGAAAATATTTATTTGTGTGTGTAGTGCTATTAGGATACTTAAATTTGCAGAAATGGTTTTCTCCATGGCTGGGGAAAATTCTATATGTGTATTTCTGTCTAAATGTTATCTTCACTGCAATTATAAAAGGTTCAGTTCAGCGTCTGAAAATTTTAGATGAGTTATATGATATCTTTCATGAGGGTTTACTTTTTCAAAATTAAATTCCATGGGAATGGAAGTGAGTGAGTCTTTTCTAGTACAATTCATTTTGAACTCTCTTGTTGAATTTGGCCAATTTCAAGTGAATTATAGTACTCTTAAGAAAAAATGGAATTTTCAAGAAATTAAGGCCATGTTAATTTAAGAGGAATGGAGGTTAAAGAAAATGAATGACAATTTAATTCATCTCATAACTCATGATGGAGCTGGTACTAGCAAAAGCAAGTCGGGTAAAAAGAACAAGGGCAAATTCCAATTGAAGGTTAAAGATGCAGGAGTTTGCAAGGAAAAGAAGTGTTATTTTTGTAAACAAAATGATCACTTTAAGAAGGATTGCTCGAAAATAAAGAAATGGTTTGAAAAGAAAGGTATATTTTATATGTGTAAATTTTGAATCAAATCTTGTTGAGGTTCCTAATAATACCTGGTGGCTTGATTCTGGAGCAACTACTCATGTGTCACATATAATGCAAAGATTCCTTTCTATCCAAACTATAAGAGGAACTGAAATTTTTTTCTATATGGGAAACAAAATGAAGGCAAAAATAAAAGGCATTGGGACATATAGATTAATCTTTTACATGAGGTGTCATATAGATTTGGAAGGATGTCTCTGTACCTAGATGTGATAGGAATTTAGTCTTTGTTGCAAAGTTGGATCAATTAGGTTTTAGTTTCAGGATTGAAAACAATGTATTTTTTTATGTTTAAGGATATGTACTATTATGGATATGGTATTTTAATAGATTATTTGTATTATTTCAATCTTGATGTAAAGTTTAAAGAATCCTTGTTTTAATGTTGAATGTGTTGTTAGTAGCAAGCGTAATATACATTATGATAGTTCTGCTTACTTGTGGCATCAAAGATTAGGTCATATTTTCAAAGAAAGGATAACAAAGTTAATGAAAAATGAAATTTTGCCTCTAATGGATTTTAGTGATTGGGATATATGTTTAGATTGTTTTAAAGAAAAGCAAACTAAACAAATACCAAAGAATTCTGTTACAAAAAGTAATGAACTTCTAGGGTTGATACACATTGATATTTGTAGACCTTTTGATGTTCTATCTTGGGGTGATGAAAAGTATTTTATTACCTTTATTGATGACTTGTCACGTTATTATTATTTATATCTATTGCATGAAAAGTCTCAATTAGTGGATGTCTTAAAGGTGTTCATTGATGAGATAAAAATGCAGTTAGATAGGAAAGTGAAAGTTGTAAGGCTTGATAGAAATGGTGAATTTTATGGAAAATTTAATGAAAGTGGATAATGTCCTGGTCCATTTGCTAAGTTTATTAAATATAAAGGCATATGTGTACAATATACTATGCCTGGTACACCACAACAAAATGGTGTGGCTGAAAGGCGGAATCGTACTTTAATGGACATGGTTAGGTCTATTCTAAATTATAGTATTGTACCTTTATCTTTGTGGGTGTATGTATTAAAGACCGTTGCATATCTACTTAATAGGGTTCCTAGTAAGGCAGTTCCTAAGATCTCTTATGAACAGTGGACAAGAAGGAAACCCAGTTTGAGGCATCTCCATGTTTGGGGTTATTCAACAGAAGTAAAGGTGTATAATCCACATGAAAAAAATCTTGATGTAAGAACCATTTGTGGTTTCCTCATTTTGTATCCTAAAAAGTCCAAAGGTTACAGATTCTATTGTCTTAACCATATTACGAGAATAATTGAGTCTGGTAATGCTAAGTTTATTGAGAATGATCTGTTTAGTGGGAGTGAGAAATCACAAATTATGGATATTGTAGAGACTCTTGGTGAATCTTCTTCACTTATAGTCCCTCCTCAGGATGTTGTTCCTCTGTTTGTATTACAGTCAAACAACAACCATAGACAACATGATCATATTCAAAACCACAAGTTGAACATATAGGTAATGAACAAAAAAGACAGTGTGCAAGTCATAAATGAACAAGTGATAGAAGAGGTACCAGAAATAGTACCAAGGAAGTCTGAAAGGATAAAAAGGCCAGCTATTTCAAGCGATTATGTTATGTATTCACTTGAGCATGAATGTGAATTGAGCATTGATGAAGATCCAGTCTCATTTAGACAAGCCATGGAGAGTGACAATTCTGAAAAGTGGTTTAATGCAATGAAAGAAAAAAATCAATGGATGACAATGAAGTATGGGATCTAGTTGAATTGCCTAAAGGTTCAAAACGAGTTGGTTGTAAATGGGTCTTTAAGACCAAACATGACTCAAAAGGCAACATTGAAAAGTATAAAGCTAGACTCGTTGCCAAAGGTTTCACTCAAAAGGATGACATTGACTATAAAGAGACATTCTCTCCAATTTCTAAGAAAGACTCTTTAAGAATTGTGTTGGCTTTGGTGACTCATTATGATTTAGAGCTTCACCAGATGGATGTAAAGATTGCTTTTCTAAATGGTGACTTAGAGGAAGAGATCTATATGAGCCAATCCGAAGGATATATTTCCATATGAAAGGAAAATATGGTGTGTAAATTAAAGAAGTCAATATATCAAATAAAATAGGCTTCCAGACAATGGTATCTTAAATTTAATAATACCATTACGTTGTATGGTTTTGTAGAGAATACTAGATTGGTGTATCTATATGAAGGTCAATGAGAGTAGATTTGAAATTTTAGTATTATATGTTGATGATATTTTGCTTGTTGCTAATAATGTTGCTATGTTACATGATGTAAAGAAATATCTCTTTAATAATTTTGAAATGAAAGATATGGGTGAAACATCTAATGTGATAAGAATAGAAATATCCTGTGATAGATCACAAGAAGTGTTGGGATTGTCTTAGAAATGATATATCAATAAGGTGTTAGAGAGATTTAGAATGGGAAAATACTCTACAGAGACTGTTCCAATTCAGAAAGGGGATAAGTTTAGTCAAATGCAATGTCTTAGAAATGACTTGAAACAAAAGGAAATGGAGTTTATTCCTTATGCATCTGTTGTTGGGAGTTTGATGTATGCCAGACATGTATTCGGTTGGATATTAGCTTTACCATAAGAATGTTGGGTTGATATCAAAGTAATCTTGGAATAGATCACTGGAAAGCTGCAAAGAAAGTTCTTAGGTATTTATAAAACACAAAGGATTACATGCTCACATATAAAAGGTCAAATCATCTTGAAGTGATTGACTATTTGGATTCAAACTATGCTGGATGTGTGGACTCAAGAAAGTCTAGTTTTGAGTATATCTTTCTTTTAGCTGGAAGAGTTATGTCATGGAAAAATGCAAAACAATCCATGATTGCCACTTTTACCATGAAGGTTGAGTTTGTGGCATGCTTTGATGCCACAATTCAAGCATTATGGTCACGAAACTTTACTTTAGGTTTTGGCATTCTGATAGTATAGCCAAACCACCAAAGATTTATTTTGATAATTCTGCAGCTGTCTTCTTCTCTAAGAATGACAAACTCTAAAGGAGCAAAACATATGGATTTAAAGTTTTTCGGTTAAAGAAGTGTAGAAACATAAAGTGTCTATTGAGAATATTAGTACAAAATTAATGATAGCGGATCCATTGACTAAAGGTTTACCACCCAAGACATTCATTGGTCATGTTGAAAGGATAAATGTTATGGATATGTCCTTATTAACAATGTAGTGTGATGTATATATATATATATATATATATATATATATATATATATATATATGTGTGATGGTGTGGTATATATATATATATATATATATATATATATATATATACATTATAGTTATAATGATCATATTGTATGACACTTGTGAATTCAATTATAATTGTTTCTATTTATATTGTCATTCACATTATATGGTATACATTACTATTTTAATGAGATGATAAAATATGTCTTAGAAAGAACAATAAAGACACATATTACAGATTAATTAAAGTTGCATTAAATTGGATGATTTGTGATACATGGAAAGAATGCAACCGCCATGATTCAATCATTTAATTTAATTAAGGATGGTGACTTGTAATTTTAATGTATGGTACACTCTTATAATTTAATGTTAAATCTTCAAGTCATCATATGAGCCAAGTAAGAGAATGTTAGATTATTTAATTTAATATTGACACATATATTTAATGAATGACTTTTAATGAAAATATGTCTAATGTGATGGTTATTAGATTTAAAATATATTAAAAGTCATTGGGGAATATTTTTAAGTTATTAAATTAATTTCCTTTCTTCTCACTTCATTAAGGGCAATGTTGACAATAAAAAAGTAATTTAATAAATAAATAAATAAATAAATAAATAAATGAAAGTTATGGAAGTTAAGAGGCGATTTTTTACAAAAGGACGGCCTCTTTCCTTTTCATTATTACTCCTTTTCTTCATGACTACGTTCATGGAGGATTTTGGAAAAAAATAAAAGAAAATTATCAAGAATATTTAAAAAGGGTTTTTAACACCATCAAGAGACCAATTATAGGAAGTAAGATAAGGAAGAACAACTTATCAAAAAATTGAATTGCATTATAGATTTAAGTATATCTTCTAAATTTTTCATAAAATGATTGAGTATAAAAATAATAAAAAATATATTATTTAAGATTCTTAAAATTTATGAAGTGAAATTATGTTGAATGATGAACATTATGAAATTATACATTATCATAAAAATTATCTAACAATTTGACCGGCAATAATCTGGCCTTCATTTGAAGTACCCTGTGGTAATTTGGCTTAGAAGGTTCTAGAGTGAGGGGATGTTGATTTGTCTGAAAAATAGGAGTTCACTGTGGTCATTAAAAATGCACTGCAAGTTCGTACTTCTCCTTGGATCTAGTCTCTAGTGTACATATCTCGTAACATATAGAGTTTATTTTTCATTTTCATAAAGTTGAGCAGTTTCTCATAAGTTCAGAAATATGTTTTCCAATAAATAACTCAGATATCTAAATAAACAAAGGAAATGAATAAAAATTTTATTTTGATCAAATTAATTTGAATTGGTCCAAATAAGAAAATAATTTTTTAGTTTTTAAAAATTTAATTTAAAATAATTTTAATTAAAATAATATTGAATAAAAATTAATAAATTAGAATAACTTATTTTCAATACTTCTCTCATAAATATAATTTAATAGTTTATGTTAATTTACAATTTTTAATATCTTTATTTTTTATAGTTTATATTATATTAATTTGATATTTTTAATCTAGATGTAATTTTGTTCTTAGTGTATATTGTTATATTTTATTAAAATTTAAATTTAAATATTTTATTATATATAATTTAAAATTTTACATGTATATTAATGTTAAGAATTTATAAATAATATTTTATTTTAACATTTGATGTTATAAAATTATAATCTAATATTTATTAAATATTATTTTTATACTATTACTAATAATAATTATTTGTATTAATATTAGTTTGATTACGATTACGATTGAAATATTAAATATTAAACTAGTGTTTGACTCGGTTCAATTTATCGATTTGATTTTAAAAATATTATTATTTTCTATATTTTCTTTTGTGGTAAGTAAGATTTGAATGTGACTTTGTAGATGTTTCATAAAACGTGTGAGAAATTTTCTAAAAAATAAAATAAATGAAAGGTGTGAAAAGAAAATACAGTAGCGTCAAGTGGAACAAAGGGGGTCTTAGATTTCATATAAAACTTTTAGGTGTACAACCTATGCTAGGTTCGTCGTAATTCTTTTCAAGATTTTGTTTAGTTGATAATACCATTGACAAACTTAGCCATGCGAGTTCATCAATTTTGTTTTAAGAGTCTTTCAACCTATGTAGCTACCTTCACATTAGTTAGAAATCTTATCTTTATTGAGGATCTATTCGCAAAATTTCATATTTTTTTATCTATTAAAATTAATTTCAATACTAAGATATTTACGATAACTTACACGTGCTGCTCAACTAATTAATCTAAAACTCTGGATCCCAACTCCAAAAAAAAATATACATTTAAAAAAAATAGATGAATTTACATTTTTATCCTTTTCCAACAATGAAAGAACCTTCCCTTGGCAATCCTAACTCCAAAAAAAATGACACATTGCGAAGCAAGGTTCTATGCGACCATGAAGCAAGGTTTTGCTAAGAAGTATATGTAGATGAAGGAGTTGACAGAGTCTCATAATATAGTTTGGGCAAGGGAGGAGATTCGTCTATAAACTATCCACCTCGAGGTCCTAAATATACAAGTTACACACTGTTAAATGTTACTAGGGAAA